CGAGGCTTAACTCAGAGAACACACACCTTTACTGTCTGCTGGCAACGAAGGCACTGCCTAGCCCCGAGCTTTCTTCGTGGCTCGCGCTCACGTTGCGCGCCGGTGGCCGAGCACGAGTTCTGTTTTCGCGACGTTGGCCTCAAACCCACAACCTTTACCTTGGCTTCAGGAGAGGGTTTTCTTGCGAGAACCAGTTGCTAAAATGTATCTACAAATAACATGGAAACTTTAAAGCTCATCCTCAGACCGACGCGATATTTTTTTTAGATTTGTCCAAGACCTTTGATCGGTCCCACACCTTCGGTTACTAACAACGCTCTCCGCACTGAATGGTAACGATAGCGTTATTCCATGAATTCACAGTTTACTTTCTTCCCGGGTACAGTTGTCAGTCGTAAACAACCTAAAATCTGGCTTGTGCAACGTTACGTCTGGAGTTCCCCAAGGCTTGCTTCTCGATTCTTTACCTTTCCTAATTTTTATCAGCAATCTCCCACGCTCCATTTTTTCTAAAGTGCATCTTTTTGCATATGGTTTTGTATTGTAGCCCCAAATCAATTCACCTGGTGACCATCTCTTACAAAAGGACTTAGCTGAAATAATAAATTGGTGCTCCGACTGGGTAATGTGTCTCAACTGCTCAAAATGCAAGCTCGTCCATTTCACCCGCAAGCGCTCCATTTTATCATGCACATATTTTCTAGGCGCTCAACCCATTGGAGCCGTCTCATCATTTAAGTATTTTGGTGTGCACCTTGCATCTGTCTTATCATGGACCGCACGCATCAAATCCATTTCACTCGCCGTTTCAAAAACGTTGCGCTACATCAGGCGTTGCCTTCACTCTGCTGCTCCGAATCTTCGCCAGCTAGCATATCAAACACCTATGCGACCAACACTTGAATACGCCGCTGCCATATGATGCCCTCACCAAGGTTACCTTGTCACCCAGATTGAAATCATTTAAAATCGTGCCGCTCGCTACATCCTCTCTGGGTACAATCGCACCTACGCTTCATTACCCACGCGCCATAAATGTTCACGACGCTGACTTTTTCTCAAAATATACCACTATCATCCGGACGTTAGAGCACATTTCTCGCAACCTCTTCCCCGGCCTTCCCCCAGACTAACAAACACTGTGTGCAACGGATCTCTGGATTCACTAACGGATTTATTAAGTAATTTTTTTCACTATCGATTTCCAAACAGAGCACTCTACCGGAGAACTTATCCTCACATTCCGCGCTTGTTTAGTCTAGCATCTCGGAAAGCAATTGTTTTCCCGAGTGTTTTTTTTTTTTTTTTTTTTTGTATGCTCCATGTTTGCACTAATTGATTGTGCATGACTACGTGTTATTGATCAATTCTGTTCATATTTGCTTTGTTTTAACCTCTTGTGTGTATTCTTTTTTTTTAGCTGAGTGTTTTTATTGTCTCTCAAGTGCAAATAATCTCCCCACCCCCACTTTAGTAATGTTCTCGAATGAGGAACTTTAAGGGCAAACAAATGAAATGAAATGAAAATAGGCAGAGAGCTTTCGATGGGAAGGAGGCACGAAATAGTACGCTATGTTTTGAAGTTTTTGTACCGAAAATCAGGTTCTTGAGTTTCCGCCCTTCTTACTTTTTAATCCCAATCTAAATGCATTTATTCCAGCCCAAATTTCGTGTCATGGCTTCTTTAAGTAAAGGTGCCTTTTGTAGTCGGAAAAGGCGGGAATCTAGCAAAGCAAGTGAGGCTCGCGGTATGCCTCGCTGCCTTTCATTGTGAAGTTTATTTTGAAATAAGCTATGCTATGAGCTGATATTGCCAATCGCTTGTTGGGAAAGTACACATTTTAGGAAGATTGTGCCATCCTTCGCAAATATCCCGCCCCCTTGTGTGACAACGCGTAATAATTTGGGCATTTCGAGTTTTTGGGAACAATACTCTTTGAGAGGAACGATCGGAATTATGTCAACTAGTACTCTCGAGATAATTAGATTGCGTACGAGGCGGGAGAGGCGTTTCACGTGACGACATCATGTAAGAACAAGCTTCCATAGCCCGACTAAACATACTCAGGTGGGCTATAACTTGTTCTAAATCAGGAAGATGGAAACATATCCCCCCTTAACTAATGACCTTCACCATTAAATGAATAGCGAAACTGGTGAGTCGACTGTATTTGAGTCACATCGAACAATGAAGTTTTTTATCATGTTTAACACCTGTGTCAATGAAGTCCGTCAGGAAAACGACTGTTCAGTGTGGTTCACTTTGAGGCGCATTAGGATTTTGTGGTGTAAAGCGCGAGACACATGGACGGCAGAATCGTCGGATCCGACGTCCGATCCGGCAGTCCGAACGCTGCTCCGAATTGCCGCAAGCGACAGTTTGAGACACGCGCTTCCGACCTTGCATGCGACACGGCGATCCGTTCGGCTCCGCCCAGGAGATCCAAGCACTCCAGCGGAGGTCCACTTTCATAGGTCTCTGGTTCCAGATTGACGGTTTAGCTTGCACGAGCGAAGTTAGGAGCTCGCTCTCGCTAGCGCGTGCATTCTCTGCCGGGGCCATCTATTTCGAATGGGTCAGCGGGATCCACGCGTCCAGCTTCCCGTCACCCGTCCCGTTTTCTTATTTGTCCTGCCAGGCCCAGTACGTCATCGTGACGTTCGCGCTAGCTGTGCTGTCATTGGCTGAACGCATCCGACAATCCGTCCGCCGTGCGAAACTATCTGGCGCGTTGGCCGCACGTCGGATCGCCGATCCGACGTCTGAAGCGACCAAATTTCTCGGATCAGGCAGTCGTATTGCCAGATCGGACGTCTAATCGGATGAATTTTTCGCGCATGTGTCTCGCGCTTAAGCACGAATATCTGAGTTTTGGTTCATATACAGTGAATAACATTAGAATGGATTACTGCCTGAGGGTATTGAAAAGTAATGTCAAAGTTATTTCAGTACTTTTGGAAAGTAATTGTAATGTAATATCGTTACTTTTAGTGCGCGGTAAATTTTAATGTAAATTAGTTACCTTTTTGTAGTTTTCACAAAGTGATTAGTAATGTAATTTAATTACTTTTTGAAAAACTTTGCCATCTCTGGTGGCAACGCCCTTAGCAACGGATTGTTTGGAGCTGTGAAGTCACTTTTACGGGATTCATTAGAAAAGTAATCCTGCGTCGATAGTCATCAACATTAGGAGAAACACAGGAGGGCGTTTCTCATTATAATTCCTTTTTTGTTTCGTGCTTTTTTAGGTGTTCTTGTCAGATGAAGGCTCTCTATCACTGTATGTAGAGTGATAATAAAATGTTCAAAACTGGCCGCTCCATGCTTTCCTTGGATGGATGGATGAATGCTACCAGCCGCACCCTTTATGGCGGGCGGCAGCTTGAGCAACCTAGCGTAGGAACAAAAAAAAAAAAAAACAAGAAACCGTTTCCTCCACTTGATCTTCTAAGCCGATTCCCTTGCCCTCTGCACTTTTGTATCTATCACCAGGCAGTGCGGGATATCGCCAGAATGACCTTAGGCTATACTTGACCATAGTTTCCCGCAGAGCACTCCAAAGAAGAAATCTAGATTCGGAGGGATCTTAGCAAACAACAAAACACCCCCCGCCCCCTTCAAGCAAAAAAAAAAAAAAAAGGAAGTTTTGACTGAAAGGTGCAGCTTGTGCTGTAACATTTATTACTTTTAGTATGACATGACATGTTTGTGTAACAGCGCGGATATATATTTATATGTTACAAACGGTTTGTTACCCTCATCAATCATCGTCGCAAAGCCAATGATGTTGGGATATTCGGCGAGAATGTTGCCTACGAACGAATCACCAACAACGAAGCAACAATCTACAGACAAGAGGCCACGCTCCGAGTTCGTGAGCGGTTGCCGACTATAGTACTGTGAGATATAGCGCCAAAAACACTGTGCGTTCTTTCTGCGAGGTTGGCAGGAAGATTGGCAAATGGCGAGGTCAAAAATAAGTTAGGTTTAAATATATTTAAAGTGGAGTCTGCCATTTCTCACTTGGCCTGCCATTTTACGTGGCCACGTAGTGTACAATGTCAGCAACAATTGAAAACGAACGTGTTGGTTAACAGATACGAAAACTTGAATGTAGAAAACAGCGAGGACGAGGACGTGGAGAGGACTACTTTCGTTTAGCAACAATATAGAATATTTTTCTATGTTGTTGCTAAATGAAAGATGTCCTGTCCCCGTCCTCGCTGTTTTATACTTTCAAGTTTTCGTATCGTGCAATGTCACATCGACGACATTATTCTTAGGTCAAAATATATTTGGCGCCTGAGTACGCTGTGAGAGGAAAATTCAATATTACCGAGACAATGAATGACGCCTAACTAAATGTCTCCTCAAATTATAAACGAACCTTTATCTAAAAACCCTAGACTTCTTTTAAAAAACCTGCACAATGTGATATCCCTTAAGAGATATGGAAACGCAAAGGTTACACAAGAAGCAACTATAAAAACATTTGTACTTTTCCTCAGTAACGGAACAAACGGGATAATTGAAGCAGCATTCTTAATAATTATCCACAAATTAGAGGTAATATCAACAAAATTGTCCGCTATTGGAAGTCTTTTTCTTATCAGTACTTAAATACAACTCGACCAGGCCATTTTTATATTTACGCTAATTCCTGTCTTCTTGGTATCAATATGCGTGACTGCAAGTAGAACCCAAAGAATGGGATAGCATAAACACGTGTGACAAGTAAGGTTGCACAAGCAAGCTATTTATCGTCCGGAAACTGAAACGTTCTTGCGCGAAGACCCGCAGGATACGCGCCAAGAGAAAGCAGAATCTCTGCACGACACCCCGGGGCGGTGCATCCTTTTTCCTGCCCAACTCTCGTGATACCGACATACCCTACCCTGGAAACGCAAAGGAGGTGGCGCGTCCGTGAAGGTAGATGGAAAGACAACACCACGTGCGAGAAATTTCCGACACCCAGTTATAAATGCTGCCTACGCCAACACTAATAATATAAGTTTTGAGATAAACGCCCACGTGGGCCAGCTTTGAGGACAGCGCAAGGATGAAGAGTTCACTGGTACTGCTACTAGCAGCCTTCGTTTGTCATGCCCTTGCTGATGCTACTTACGGTGAGCGTGAACATAATGAAATAATTCGCTCGTTTTCTGACAAAGAAAGTTTAGGATATGCACCGGAGAGCAAAGACTATTCATTTGGTTAAAACGTTCAAAAGTTGCTGAAGTGAGTGCTTGGCACAAACGTTTGTGCAGCCATAATTTGAAATATTAAATCGGACGGTGTATTAGATATAAAGTATCGTGGGTACAAAACCCGATAAGAATAGGTCGAGCATGAGTCAACCTCTAATATTAATCTAAATATAACAACGCGTATTCAAATAGGTTTTTCGTGAAATTTTAATAATATTTGAACTTATGGGTGAAGTACTGGAAAGTTGAAAGAAAGGAGGGAGAGGCATTCGGTCAAACATGACCTACAAGTCCTTTTATTGAATGTGTAGATCTTTTTAAATTTTCTTGTTAATACTGGAAGCTGAAATATAAAATATTTTGTAACACGACTTCGTATTGGGCAAGTTGATTCACTCTCAGCATTAATACAATAGCGCAAACTGAACAAGTACGAAGAGGCACATATGCGACAGGACTGATGCCATCGTGTCGTATGTGTGTCCCTTCGTCTTCGTTCAGTTTTACGCTATTCTGTCAGTCACATTAAAATATTTGTTAGAAGTTTGGTTATTTAAAATAAATATAACATGATATATTCTGAGACTTTTACGACCGATGAATTCTATAATCTTTTAAATTCAATACAACGTGCCCGAACATAATACGCCCCATTTTTTTCAGGTCATATTTACATATATATATGATGTTACATATATATAATATTGTGCGAAAATACGTGTATAGGATGTTAGACCTTTATGCCCTTAACAGCGTTTTTGGGGGGTGCAAGAGTTGGAGACGAGACCAGTTTGCTCACTACCACAACAACGATAGTAAACGTGCTAAGTCCTATAATAGCCATGATGCATTAATGGCATTCGTTTCAGTTTTATAAATAGCGCACGGGCGGCGCACTTGCGTAACTTGCCTTGAGTCGAAATGCCCCATCCGCTACACCAACAGCCTGCTTTTTATACCCTTTTTATCTTCTAGTTTATTTGGGGATTTTTGTCTTTTTTCCCGGTGTATATATACATATTCTTTTTCAGGTATCATATTTTGTTAGTTGAAATAGTTGGGAGGCAGATAGCACGCATTGAACGAGACATCAGTAAATTTTCTTTGCTAGATGAAAGAACTCAGTTGTCTGTCCTTGTCCTTAAGTGTTTTTATTCTTTCTTTGATTGTTGTTTGATGCCGTTTCTCTGTTTTACGTTTTCGCCGCTAGGTCGAAGAAGTTTTCGCCCCACATTTCGACACGCGTGGGCTTTGAGCTTCTAAAAGTCACGTTTTTGCCGCTGCGTTGCCTCGCCTCCTCTGGAATAGAGCTTCTTGTCAATCTAACGTGCCAAACCCGTTCATAGCACCTGTGACGCCTGAAATTTGAATCAGAGGAAGCAAGGTTCTGTCCGCCATTGATTTAGATCACAGGGTTACCACGGTGATAAAGGCCCTTTTCAATTGTGAGAGCCTCCAATAATAGGAGTTTCTTTCGACGAGTGTCTCTAATTATTCCTTTTGTATTCCATTCAAAAATGCTAGTGTTCAGCCAGTATGTATTCACATCAAACTCCAGGTCACGTTTTTTTAAGGTTGAACCGGCGAAGTTTACTACGACGTCTTTTATCTAAATATTAGGTCCTATCAAAGAAAAACATATCCAGGTTGTAGTTGTTTTTTTTTACAGCGCACACGTCCACCACCTTTCGTAGAAAACTGAAACACCATCGCAAAGTAGCCGCAGGGGCAAAGGCCTGATCTGAAAGTTTAATCCCTGTACGTTTAATCCACATTTGAGATCGAGCTTGTCAACATCTTGAGTAATGGAGAATTGAACTTCCACCATTGGCGAACGCCGGGCCGTCTATTTCACACCACCTTTCATAGATGGCTCCAGCTTTCTATTGCACGGGATGTCGTTTCTGCCACTAAACCTATTTACTGCTGCCACTGTAATCTTTCCGTAGCAAAAAAAAAAAAAAAACAGCTTTGCGCAGTCGTGAAATTGGATGAATGAAATGAAATATACGGTGGAATCCTTTGAATCTGGCGGCGGGCTGGCCAGGTGGCTCAGCTAGCGTTTTTAATTCCAGCTGGTAAGACATAGATTATACACTCTAAAAAAAGGCGTATTCCTACACCTTTTGTCCTATATAATATATCCCGCAATTTCAATTCGACGTGCAGCACCCTATAGTTGAACAGACAGCCCCAAATTTTACGAGGGGCTTGATAGCCGTATGGGAAAACTTATTAAAATAGCTAATCCACCTGTTTTGACTACAAAAAAAAAAATAGGGTTTTCTTGGCCCTACTGCAAAATTTCAGTGTTTTATTTAAATAGTCTTTGATACATACTGTATCTATTTAAAAGGTTATATCGCACCGTTATTAAGCCCCGCGTAAAAATTGGGGCCGTCTGTTCGACTATAGTGCTCTGTACGTTGAATGGAAGTATTGGGGTGCATGATATGGGACAAAGGGGTGTAAGGTGATACCCTCTTTATAAGAGTGTGCAAAACAAAATTAAGGTCGAGGCCCGTGAACGACGCGCAATGCTACCTGTAGTCACGATAAGACTCCCCTCAGAGTACGATTATTGGCACCCTTCTCTCCCATTGTCCGAAGCCGCCACGACGTTCCTACGTGCGTTCGTATACCACGTGACATTTGTTTACAAGCCAACAGATCGCGGCTATTGTCATCTCTGTGCTTAGAGCCTAACAGGCGCCCATTGTGACAGCTATGCTTCTGAAACGCGACATTTTGAGCAGAAGACACGATGTTTAGGAGGTTATCGTGGTTATCGGTTTGCACCCTCGTGAGCTGTTTTAGAGAGCAAGACGACGAAATTGCATCTTTCGTCGGGCACGTCGGCGAAAACTAATGATCAATGCCAACATTCATTTTACGCAACAATAGGACTCCCCCCCCCCCCCCCCCCAGTGTTGTTACTTTAAAACGTAGTTTACTTAGTGGCTCAGTACCCCATATGATTATTGGCGTCAAACAACTACCCGGTTTACATCTGCTATCAGCGATTCTCCGTGACCTCTCATTCACATGTTTCAGAAATCGCACCGGTAAAGCTTGTGATTCAACTAACCACTTGAATCAAATTTTCCAGTAGTATTTCCTTCGCTGGAAAAAATTGCCGTGAACACTGAGAGTTTTACGACGGGCCATTTATCGGTGCTGCGCGAACTGAACGTTTTTCTAGAAAAACAAAACGAACCGGGATGTAGCTAAGTTTTTTTAGTAATATATATTTGCTGCCATGCTTAAGCATTTCAGAATTGTTTTTCTTACTCTTGATCTCATGGGTTATTCTAAATCATTTCAATGGGGTTAATATGAAAAATTTAAATGATACCGCTGCTCAGTTGGGGTCGAACTGTGACCTGTGACATGGTTTCATGTTTATAGGCTGAACTCTAGTCGTAAAAATATAATCCTTTATTTTTCTAGATGTTGAATACATGACGTTTTGTGTAATACTATCCCATTTGCGTTGTATGTTTCAAACTAGTTGGTGATTTTTTTTTATTTGATGACAATACCTTTATTAGGTTAGTTAAGGGGCTCAATTTTTCTTTCACAAAATTTATGTTGACACCTACTCTTTCAGTTCTTCGAACCTACCACCGCCCTCGTCTAGCATATAATGTTGTACAAAATGGTCCAAGACCGTACCCGGCACACTCCGTGAGTATTGGTTTCATCATTCCAGATTTGGCTTCCATAGTCACCGACATCTGAAGAAATGCGGCGAGAATCTCATAATGTTCACGATTCCTGAACTTTGGTTGTTTTTCTGGAGTCGTTATTGAGTAATGTCACAATCTCACTAACCGCTGCGCGATAATTAGATGCTCCGGACCATAGCCTCCTATATACTGACAAAGCCTGGCAGACCGCCACGAGAAGCGGCCGCTAAAATGGAAAAACGGGAGGGGCAGACAACAGATGAGAGGAAAACCACGCGACTGGCGCCCCGCTGCGGCGAGACGCCGAAACGCAGCGTCTCGCCGCTGCCGCGAGGCGCTGCGGCGTAACGCGAGCTTTCGGGTCCTCGCCGCTGCAAAAGCTGTGCGCTGACGTCGAGGTTCCCCGAGAAATGGCTTTTTGATGCTCTGTGCTACCAGATCCTCCCGCTCTATATCTTCGACCGGGCACTCTATGGCTCCGTCGTCGAACTGCCAGGCTTTGTGAATATAAAGGAGGCTATGTCCGGACCCGTCGCGCACTGCGTTTCTCAACCTTTCAGTGAATGGAGATACAACCCACCCTCTCAGCTGTAGATTAGATAAATGTTCTATTTTACGAAGAAATATGTGGCATTGAAAACCCTAGTTTGGGATGCCCTCAAAGGGGTACTCCGGCGTTTTTTAGAGCGCAGCTATTATGCGCTTGTTTCCAGTTTGAGCGGCGTCGCCGTCGCCGTCGGCGTAACCGCGCGTTGCATTATGGAACGTTTCCCATAATAACGTCACACGTGACATCTGTGACGTCAGGAGGGTCACGAGTGACGTCATGAGGGTCACTGGGTCATGAGGGACGTCACGAAGGTCACTCCTAAAGGTCACGACGAAGGCCACGACTACCTTTGTAGTGAAGGTCGCGTGAAGGTCACGACCTTCACGAGTCCTTCACGAGTCCTTCACGAGTGACGTCACGAGGGTCACTAGGTACACGAGTGGCGTCACGAGGGCGGAGGGAGGGGAGGAGAACTAGAGGAGGATGATGGAGAAGGAGGAGGGGGAGGATCGAGGAGAAGGAGGAGGAGGAGGGGCATACTTTCCTCTCCGTACCCTCCCCTCCTCCTCCTCAAGAGCTGCGCTCTATTTCGGCATTACAGGAAATTCTGAACGTCTCCCAGTTTTTCATAGCCCCCGATTTGCCTGTAAATTTCCTAAACACACAAGCAAACATCGCGGCTGAAATAGTAGCTCAAATATCAGGCCAAACTAGTGTGTTTCGGAAGATTATTGAATTTACCGTTTTCGTCCTCACCGTGTTTTTAAAGTTATAGTATATACTAGCAACAATAAAAAAAAGACGTCAGGGGAAGTCAGGGGTTCACTCTTTGAACTGCAGACTTTGCTCAATACGGATTACAACCAGTTTCGTGGTGTCAAATGAATGCTATGGAAGCTCGCTCCAGCACCCGCGCAGCAGCATGAAACGAATGCTCGGCATAGTCCATTTTTTAGACAGCCCGTTCGACCTGTAAGCTATCTTCCCCTGACGTCACGCCACCGAAAAACGCGGGTATATTTAAATTTCTGGTTTGCCATAATTTGTACTGGCCGATTTCCCAATAAATACTGTGATTTTCGCGATACTAAATAGCGTACAGGAAAGAGTAAAAGACGGCATGATTCCGAATATATATAGTTAGTTGGAATAGCTAAAACAAAGTCGCCAGAGTGTCCCTTTAAGCACACTGCTAAACTCACGGAAGGCAAGATGCGAAATGGGGAAATGTGTTTACCTAAATGCTTGGTGCAAACCAGATGAGACAAAACAATGAATGGCAAAGAGTGCAACTGCTAACAGATAAGTTTACACTTAACCCTCTGTAAACAGTTCATTTATATACTGATGTGTGTATGACCTCTTTGTTTCTTCTTACCCCAGTTCGTTTGGGTACAACAGGGCTACACTTGCCGGCAATGGCCTTTTTACCGTTCCCAGGACGACGGCAAGCCGTGCCTTGTAAGCAAAAATATTTAACTTTCTTTTTAATGTCTATGAAACGTAAAAAAGAAAGTAGCTTACGATGTTAAAACGAGTTGTGGAGATATGTCTTGTTCGCGTTTTCATATCTTCAGGCTACACGGACGTATAGCGCACGGCGTAGTTACTACGAGGACGCGATCTCTTGCTTTTTTTAATTTCCCGTCTGTAGCTGAAAGGATATCATGAAAATACTAGTCGAGAAGAGTGTGCTTATAAAAAGTTCCAAAGTTGGTACTAAAACTTGCTGTTAGACGCTGACTATACAATTATGAATAGCACGGGTGTCGTGTTCACGCTAACTGCGTCGCGTTGTGTAAATGCCATTTTTGGGCCTCTTTGGTTTAACATATCACACTCGTCATATCCAGTGTATTCGCTTCTTACACATGTCATATTTTCAACACACATTGTGTGAGACTTACGCATGTCAGCCCTGCCTTTTCATGATTAGATATCAAAAATAGTCGCGGAAATCAAGAGGAGTCAATCATTGCGATTTAATGATGAGGCCGGTCGAATGATACACTTCGATAATGTGGGAACGCAGATATGAGCTCATTGTTGATGTTTTTTTTTAAATTTCTAATCGTTATCTCAGCTTTGGCATTGCCATGAGTCTAACTCAAATTTGTTCATTCCTCCTCATACAATTTTAGACATCGTTCATACATTTTAAGTGAAAAGTGCATATGCATAAAGTCAATATCAATACAAAAATAAGATCAAGTTTGATGAAAGTGATCTGAGCATAAACCCATAACGAGGGGTCATTCACGTATTACGAAATTCCCTTGTAAATACAGTTGACACGCAGGCATCTACATGTAGATTCTACTTATTATGCTATATTAGTGTCCTTAAGTATATTCATAGATCATACTAAAAGAAGGCTGACGATGAAAACGCGCTATGTACATATTTTTATAAATATAAAAATAAACAAAAACACAAAAAACAAACAAAAACGGTATCGTTTTGAGCATTTGAATGCGTTAGTAGGTGCGCTACAACCATAACCGTAGACATAATTGATTTAAATATGTTGTTATGGTAGCACCCATGACAAAGGCGTGTCAACATTTTTAGGCTCTTTCGTCTCTCCTACTCGTGGAGTGAAAAAGCTCGTCCAGAGAAGTTGAGAAATTACCTGAATATATAAAATCCGTATGCATTGAGCAATACGGACAAAGCTTTTTGCAGACTATGTGATACTTCAGGTTAAATAAAAGGTTCCCGAGATTTGTATATAACTATCCCTATGGTGTTGCAATGCCTACCTTCTTAGATAAAGGCGCGCACTAGTAAGGCTAGCAGAAAGGTGAATTTTTTTATATAGCATACTTTTACGTTGATTTAAAACGTTTCCCTTTACTTACGATGTTGTGCAGAACTCAGTTTTTCGCGAGAAATCTTTCTTAATTTACAAAGCCGGCGTATGTACATTTCAGTTTCCAACATAATTCTTTCTCCCGTTAAAATATAAGCTCCTCACAAAACCAACCTATTTTGATAAATATATTTAGTAATTGTGAACAACAACATATATACACTTCAAATGCTGTAAAATTAAATATGAGTAGCAGCCTCTATGTCAAAGTAGGGGAAGTTGAATAGGCTTTACCGTATCAAGATCTCGAATGGTTTTGATAACAAAAACTAGCTCTGATTGGTATGCAAATGTTTCGTAGAATCACCCCAAAAAGTATTTTAAAGCTTGTTGTATAATTGTTTAAAAACGTTCAGCCTATGAACTTTCTTTTTGCTTTAACGCAGATTTTCAACAAACAGCGAGGCTTTTGCAAGGCCGGCCAATGCGTTGGAAGATCGTGGAACCCCTTTCCTGCTGTGCCGTCACCTAGGATACATCCGGGAGGCTCAGGCACAATTTACACATACGTCCTGGTGACCCCAAAGTACCCAAGACCAATGCCCAATGGTGGAGGGCGCTCACCTTCCTCGACATCGCCCGAGCCGGCACCAGCGCCAGTAACCCAACCAATGCCGGAAACAGAGTCAGAATCAGAAGATCGGCCCGCGACAGAGCCCCCTCTTGATCCTCGAAGAGTTGGTCGACGTTTATTAGAACCATAGTAAAGTGACGTCCATACATCTCTTTATTTCTCCGAGATCTAAATACCCACGAACATTAACAAGAATGGCGAATACACACTTTTTATGTATTGATCTGAGTTTAGGTATCATTATAAACTTCTAGCAATTTTATAAAAGAATTGCTAGAAGAAGAAACTAAATTTGTTGTGCCGACGATATATATTTTTACACGTTCAGCAGATCGGTGATTGATTCCTTGAGAGGGTAAAGCGTCCCTGTTGTGCATTTCTGTCATAAGGAGTATACATTATTTATACCCTGCGTGATTTCTATAAAACTATGTTGTGCTTTTTCAATAAAAGTTTGTTTGAAGTTGAAGATCCGTTGCGTCATTTTTGTCAATTAATACACTTTTCGCTTAATCTGACAAGGGGACAATTACACCCACGTATATTTACAGTCAGGATAGGCTTTGTAAAATTTCGAATGAGGGAGCGGTTTCGAAACATTATTTCCGTTTTATTCTATAGAAGACGAGAGTAAACGGTAGACAAACAAAAAATCATGCTTAGAGTACCTGCATGAAATGTTGCCCTCAACTGGAGCAAGTTTGATGATGCTTTGAAAACACTATGCTTATATAAATTTACAGGCTAATCACTAAACGAAAAACAAGGCAGGCTGTTGAGTAAAAGAAGGAAGACGTAAAGACATTCACTTCTTAGACGCGATATTATGAGGATGCAACAACTCTCTAACGCATGTTATAAAGCTAATTTTTGCGTGAGATGTGCCTTCACCTGCGGACACTATACAACAATAGAACTTTTTTTTCAGCAGTAGAGGATTAAACGATTTTAATTACTCATGTTTCTTTTTCGTTTTTTTGTTTTGTTTTTTTGAGCGCAGCTCTTAGGCATTCGTTTCCGGCTTGAGTGGCGTCGCCGTCGGCGTTACCGTCGCCGTCGGCGTAACCACGCGATGACGCTGACGATGAAGATGACGTTCAATTCCCCGCTAAATTAAGCAGAAAAAATTCCCCGCTAAAACTAGCGGAAAAAATTTCTCCGACATATTCAACGAAAAAAGTTCCCCGCTAAAGTTAGGGGAAAAAATTGCCCCGCTAAACTCCCGCCAAATTTACACGCGATGCTCTCACCGAAGATGTGCATTTTCTGCGACTTGCGTTAAGCACACGTCAATCCACACCCATGTTATTTGTGGGGGACTTTCCACCCTCTCCCCTCAGTACCCTTCCCTCCTCCTCCTCAAGAGCTGCGCTCTAATTCGGCGTCACAGGGGATTGTAAACGTCTTTCATTTTTTACCTCTCGTATTATATGTGGTAGGGTAGATCGGCATCATCAAATAGCCCATAAATTTCCTGTTATAAGTAAGGCATACCGTTTCGCTTTCCAACACTAATGGCACTTTAAGAAAAGGCGTCCTCTGGCAAACCCGACGATGAAAGACTTGTCAGGAAGCAAGAAACAACAAGTATGACAGAAATAATTCCTGAAAAAAGGGAACAAGAGGGACAAAGGACAAACAAATCTCCACAGGAAGTGTTTAGTTATTGGCAGATGATGCTCCATTCGTCGCTTAACGTTTCGACATAATAGTGTTGCTTGGCATCACATAAGACTTGCTATTTATATTCTTTCAAGTAAAAAATAAATGAAATATTAGAAGTTATTTTATGTGTTATAACCGTAACAAATAAAAAAACTAGAAGACAATTCAATTAAAGTTACGAACATATATACAAAACAAGCATTTTGTTTCACAAATATACTTGAAACATTGCAGGATATGTGCCTTGTAGTGAACCTAGTTCCGCTCAAGATCTTGTTTCTACTTTGTTTCTTGAAACATGCTCAGGATATAGAGTGAAAAAAAAAACACACACACACGAACTAGTTGGCGGAAGGAGCCGCCGGGATCCTGTGTCTTTTTTGAGATAGGCGTGGGGTTTCCTTCGGAAAAGCAGTGGCTGTTCAGGAGGAGATAAAATATAAGGTCACAATGGCCTAATAAGAGCACCGACGTTCTTTTGTCTTGGGAAGTCTAGTGCGCCTGGTCCCGTAGTCGGTCTTGTACTTGTAAGTGTCCGAAAGCTCACCAAGTCACGTCAGGACAAAGAACACCAGGAAGATGAAGGTTTCACTGGCCCTTCTACTAGCCCTGGTCTTTTGCTACGCTGCCTTGGCGGATGGACGCTACCGTACGTCTTTTCCAATACACATACGTTCTTCGGAGTTCACCCTGGCGACATAACTTTTGAGACGATCTGTGCTCCGATACTAACCCAATATTATATGACCTTTTTTTTTCAGTACGGTTCAGACGTAGCCCCACTAGAAACGACGAGGGGGAAAAGTGCACAAGGGCGTTTCAAAGACGGGCTGTAAGTGTCCGTCATTTACTCCCTGTCCGCGAGTTGTAAGTTAGCCGATGAAACAGTGACATCAGTAGACACGTGCAGTTATTTTTTTAATATAATATTATCGTAGAAGCCTTCTAACAGAACCGCGTTTTTTTTTATTAGTTTTGCTTTAAATTTGCATTTTCCCGGCGGACATGAACCCTATAACTCAAATGTTTGAGCTGCAATAGTCACCGAAAATTTAAGAGACGCAGGGTGTGGCGAATCCCATGCATTCCATTATCGTCCCTGAGCCAATGAGATTGCGGAATTACCAAATGGGAACGCCCAAAGAGCCAATCACGACGGAAGAAGCGTGAACATAATGGCCCCACCCTGCGTTGCTAAAGTGGTACAGTGACGACACTCTAAAAAATGCCCGTGCGTCTGCTTTCCTGCACAACACTCGGAGAACCAATCACCGCAACTTACGGAGGCAGCTCAGCGAATGACGATGGCGAAGTATATGTTTAGACCAAAAAACGCAGTCTGAGTTGTGACATTAAGCAATGCAAGCATTACGTTTTGCATTGCTTAATGTCACAACTCAGACGGCGTTTTTTGGTCTAAACATATGTTTCGGCATCGTCATTCGCTGAGCTGCCTCCGAAAGTCCCGGTGATTGGCTCTCTGAGTGTTGTGCGGGAAAGCAGACGCACGGGCTTTTTTTTTAGAGTGTGCACACGCTATTATCCTAAGTTTACCTGAACCAAATTAGCATATGCGCATGTCTTAATCTCGAGAGAAACTAGAGCAAATGACTTGTGGGCATATCTGAGGATATGCAAGCTTGTCTAATACTGTACGTGTTAACATTTGATCGATTGATTTTTTTTTTCTCTAGAAATCACAAATATATACCTCGCTTCGAATTTGTTTCTTATTGCTTCCTTCGTAGCGCTCCTGGATTCAGTGTAGTTACCTGTGCTACGGATGGCCTATTCGAAGAGAGAACGAAGAGGACGGCTCACCGTGCACCGTGAGTATATATGTTGATTTCATATTATTATTATTATTATTATAAACACTTGTTAAGTCAGTGTAAATGGCAGAATGTGAAGTGTTAGTTGCTTACAGATAATTTTAATAAATTAATATTTTCTTTCCTATTTTTACTAAATATTGGGATTCATTCATTTTATTTGGAGAGATGTTTGCTAAACAGATTTGTTTGTGCCCTGCCTTAATTACCCTTTGCATATTATTCGAGTAGTAAATCAGTACTGGCAGGTTTTATCAGCATAGAACTTGGTGATCTTTTGAAGCTGAGTACAGTATCTCAATAAAGAAATAAATTTTAAAAAGTGTCTACGTGTTATATTAAACACCGTGTCGTCCATGTCGTGCAAAACATGCTGAATTCTGAAGTTTGACTAATGTGTTAATAGAGAAAATATTTAAATCCTGCTTAAGAACGAAAGACATTGAATGAAGGCAGTACCAATACTTTGTTTGAGAACCCTCAGCTTTACCTGACTTACAGTCGCTTCGCATAAAGCTTGTTTATACATCTGCATAGGGCTTTGATATAACATCCTTGGTATGAAGTGTAACAAACAATATGTTTTATCGGGAAATAAGGTTTCACTGGTTAGATCACATATTAAGAACGTCTTCCATCGTGAAGAGTATATACACATTTAATGGAGTGATTATTAATATGTTTGGCACACACAGGCACACAAACTTCAGTTGTAACTAGAGGTTTTTGGTTTTCATTGTTTTTAAATTCGTTGTTTTATATTGTTTCGGTTTTTATACTGAACGCATATTTTCGGTTTTTATCGGTGAATAAATATGCAGCTAGAGGCGTTTTCATTTTTTTTTTCGGCAAACAAGTGTTCTGGTTTTAGCACTAATGTTAACATAAAATTACGTAAAATGACAGTAACAAAAATGGCATGTATATTCATCAGACGAACAGAAATTAAAAAGCACGCACACACAAGTACAAGAAAGTGAGATCTGGTCTACACAGCGACCGTACATTTCCCTTCCAATTATGTCACGATTATTAAATGGGCTTTAATACATATACATATGTTTCCCAAGTTTTCTTCCCTAATATGCGGCCTCTCTTTCCTGTTTGTCTCCCTAAGTTTAGATAATTCCCTCTTAACGTTCACACTTCAAACAAGCGAGCTAAGCAAGCGATGTACCGCAGTATATTTAATGTTGGCCAATCAATCAAATATGATCGCAAAAAGACAACCAGTACACACTTAAAATTTTTACACCCTTATTCGTGTAAATGGCTCGTCCTCTGGCTAACGCCTTTATTCGTGTAAGGGTGTTAGCCGCCGGAGGTGGTGAAAATCGTGTTAACTGCTAACACCCTAAAAACAATATGGCGGCCAGTATGCGACAGGCGATACGAGCCTGGCGAGCCGTACGCGGCTTCTCGCCGGAGCAAGAGCATACGACTCGCACGCTCGTTTGGTGTAATCTGTAGGCGCAAAAAAACTTTCCAAACATCTCTATGTCCAAGCGCCAACACCGCAAATAATACGAGTAACGCCGAAACCGCTGGAGACTGAACAGCCGAGACTGTCGCCGAAGTCTCGCTCGGCCTGCTCAATGCCGGTCGCATTTTCATCGCATCAGAAGCGCTTATAAAGAAGGGATAGCTTTACAAAACACTGACAGGCTGGCTTTATTGAACAAAACGCCCACTTGCCGTGGACAAGTTGACAACGAATCGCTCCGGCACCTTCTGTCGACAGCGGCTAGGAGGTATCGCACTCGCGCTCCGTGTGGCTCTCGATTAGCTATTGGGGAGGAGATTGAACAGTCATGCCTCTAGCGGTACGCTTCAGCTGTGGGGACAACAAACCGTATTTTCTTGTTTATTTTTTTTTCCGAGAAATCGAAGATGACGATTCGAAGGCCACTCCTCGTGCGACTGAAGCACTGGTCAGAACGAAGCGCTCGTGCCCAGGCCGTGCTAGGCGAGGTTAAATTTCTTTGTCATGTTGTGTGAGTAAACACCGGGCTGTGGGGACAACAAGCTCGATAAAGCGCCCCCTATAGTTCGATCTCCTGCCCAATTGCCTGTGCTCACCTCTGTTACGTGCGTTATCCACTCATGAACGTTTGTGCGTGAACAGCGGCATTCAGCACCTAGAACACGCGCTGGGGAAGCCGCCTAACCTCCTTTTGTTGCAATCAGGCAGCATAACACGGCGACACAGCTGCCAGCGGAACCGAACAACTCGGAGCGATCAACACGACGGATGGACTAATGGCATCCAGCCCTCTAATAGTTATAGATGACCAACCGCCACACTTTTCAAATTGGGCGGCGACAACCCCCATCTAGCGACGAAAACAAAAAGTGATAAACATTTGAAAAAAGAAAACAGCAGTTTTTTTGCTGCCCACCGCGCGGTTACATTCACTCACGACATCGACATACACACAACACTGAACATACACACGCGCATACAAGCACTGATCAATTGCACAACACACAACAAATAGTATATACAACCTACTTATACAAACCGGCAACTGCCCCGAGCGGTATATATGCCCTCCTATTTCGCGCATCGGTTAGCCCAGTGACCACGCTAGTCTTAATCAAGATATGAAAAGATTACGCCAATTTTATTTTTCAATAATATTTTTTCTGCATTTGTCTTAGGTAGGTACACATATCCCTTAATAACTTCTTACAGCATAATGTATTATAATGATACGCGCCTAACTTCTAGTAACTCAACGTGAGTGACGAGAAAAAAAAATCGTGTGAATTCTGTCTGGCAACCGCACTCGCGGCGTGGTTGCTATGGCGACGCTGTCGGTACGCGCGCCGGCAGCCGTCCAGCTGGTTCGGCCGTTCGGCTGGTTCGGCTACGCCCGAGTGCGCGAGTCCACGGTGAACGCCGCGAACGCAATCGAGAAAACAAAGCGTCGACTACTGAAGCTGTACGTAATCGAGTTTCCGCCCGTTCGCTGCCGAATTCTTTGTAGTCTTCTTCCGCCCGTTCGAAAGGGAACAGCCTACCAGTACGATTGCCGCCGTGGCTTCAGTGGCTTCATCTTCGGAGGGAACTGTCAACTGAATTAGTTCCAAAACGCGGGTGCATCAGGCAGCGCAACGTGGCGCGGTCCACGCACAAAGTCGGTAAGTAAACAAAACACTCAGTGCCGTTCCATTCTTTTTTTTTTTTTTTTATTTACGGGGGCGCGCGGTGTTTCTGGGTGGCTCAAGGTATGGGAAAGCAACCGGACAAATCGGCGCCTGATCGACCATAGGGTGAAAATTTCAAGGCGTATCGTACGCAAACGACAGCGTTTGCCAGCGGAAGACTCGGTCGTCCGTGGCGAACGCATTTTTAGTATTTTTAAGGATGTTCTAGCTGCAAAAGAAAGGAGCGCCTTAAAATTTCACAAGGTAAAATACACTGCTGAGGAAACGACGCCCCTTTGCGTGCAGGCGCCGATTTTTCCGGCAGACTTTAGCGCGCTCTGAAATGCAGTGTGCATTTAGGGAGAGTTTTGGCATAATATAATGTTGCTCATTGGAAATAAAAAAAAGAAATGCTGGCATCATATGTTTACACACTCTTAGTCATTTTTGGAATCTTAAGTACCCTTTTTGTGGCAGGTATTGGACGCCAGCACATTTTACGTAGGAACGAAGACTGGAATCCGGCCAATTCCCTTCCACATTAACATCAAATGAGTGCTGTGAAAGCAAAGAAGAAAGTGAGGGTGAAACAGTTCCTGCAGTAGTAAGTGCCAGAAACAAGAAAAGTGCCCCGAAGTGGAAAATATACTCCCTTGAAAAGGATCCAAAAGAAATAGAGGTTATCAGGTATACCGCCGAGCGTCACAGACCTGGACACTCCATTTCAGTTTTTTCAATGCCCATGCCCTGATGAGCTGTTTACAGCGATATTTGAGGGGACCATCCTGTATTGAACTCAATGCCACCATGAACACCATTTTCGGGTTCTGGTCACACCTCCACGCAGGATGTCCTGCTTCAGATCAAGGAGGATATCCTTGACAGAATCTCCTGTACGACAACGCGGGCGGTCCTGGCCCTGGATATAAAGGGCGCCTTGACAACGTCAGTCACACGCTGGTGTTCGAGAACTTGGCCTCAACTGGGTGCGGGCCCCGGATGTATGATTATGTGCGGGACTTCCTGAGCAACTGGATGGCCACCATCGGAATCGAGTCCATCCGCACAAGCACCATCCCGATACCGAGCAAGGGCAACCGGCAAGGCTCGGTCCTGTCACCCACCTTGTTACCTGGCGATGTGCAAGCCGCCTCCTCTACTGGAACGGATTCCCCGGATGAAGCATACACTCTATGCCACTCTATGTGGACGACCTGACGATTTGGGCTACGTCGGGATCGGACAGCGGGAGGCAAGACTTCCTCGAAGAAGTCATTGAGACGGTGCAGAACTACCTCGAGGCCGGCAACCTCCAGCGCGCACACCGATAAGTCTCAGCTGTTGCTCCTCCGCGCGGGCAAGCCAATTCCCGAAGAAGAAGAAGGCGGACATCCGCCTCACGTTAAAGGATGGTACCCCCGTGCCGGTGGTGAAGCGGGTTCGGATACTGGGGCCTTCACCTCCAGCGGGACGGCGGAGCCAAGTACACGGTCGACCGACTCGTCAAGACAACCACGCAAGTCATGCGCATGGTGAGAAGGATAACGAGTCACAGACACGGGCTCTAGGAGTCGGACCTGATCCGGCTGACCCAACCACTCGTCGTGAGCCACATCGCCTGCGCAAATCCGTATCTCAACCTGACCTGCTGTCGAGAGGTAAGGGCAAGATGGACGTGATTATTCGCAAGGGGTACTAGCTGGCACTGGGGGTGCCGCCGTACGCGTCGAACGCCAAGCTCCGGCTGCTAAGTGTATACAACACCTTCCAGGAACTCATGAACATGCACCTAGCCAGTCAGTGGGAGCACCTGGCCCTCACACTGAGTGGGCGGCATGCCCCGAGCT